GGGGTCCCCGCGCCCCCGGGCGCCGAGGCTGCCGGCCCCCGCTGCCAGGGCACCTCCTTTCCCCGGCTCTCCCTCCGCTCTCGGATCCGGGTTACGGCTTTTAATTAAAGGGGTCTTGTCGGGGACGAGGTGGGCTGTAATCCGCCTGCAGCGCCGCCACTGAGCAGGATCCGGGCGGAGCTCTGGCTTTCAAATTTCACGGCCGGCCACCTTTTTGCGATGAGGACAACAGACCCCGCCTCCCCTCCCACCCCCCACCGTGGACCTCTTCTTGGCCGGGTGCCCGCCTCTGGAGTGCTGCTGGACTGACTGCGAAATGCTTGGGAGGGCAGGGAGCGAGCCGGCGACTGCTGGCAGCTCCCCGCGCCGAGGTGGCCAGACGGCTCTCTCCTGGCGACGTGTGTGCAGTACCATCTTTTGCCCTTTTAGGAGCTCAGCCCTCCCCTCAGCCCGGCCGGCGGGGCAAGCACTTGTTTTCCGAGCACTTCACCCAGGCTCGGGGATCAGTAGGACGGCGTGGCCTGGCTGCTCGTTTTCATTCTTGGTCGCCGCGGAGGCTGAGGGGGCCCCCAACAGCGCAGCTGCCCCTCGAGCGCGGACCCCTGCTCGGGCCGCGGGGTGCCAGGGCACCCCACGCCGGAGGCGGCTGGTCCTCAGCGCCGCGGAAACGCAGGTTGTGGCGCCTCGGGCAGTGCGCTCGCCTTCCAGCGTTCTGATCACTTGGCGAGCTGGCAGCGTTAAATGCATTAACTTGCCAGGGAGGCCAACAGGGATGAAATAGGAAAACGGGCTGGAAAAGATTGGGGTGTGTTTCTTATCACCTCACCCCATGGCCCAGGAGTTTCAGAGAGTAAAGAGGAACGAGTGGTCGCTCAGAGGTAGCACCCGAGAGCCAGGGGGACTGTTGATTTTCTTGACTCGCGATCGAGCTCATGAACTCAGGAAGAAAAGCAAAGGCATTAGAGGCGGATTTCGTGCTCCTTTCTTCTTTCTCCCACTTCAGAAATTCCTCACCACGTGGCTGTCACCCCACCCAGCCAGCCCACTTCTGCAAGCTTTCTCGGAGTGACTGCCTCCCTGTGTTTACCCCCTTCCTATGGCGATTACGCAGGACTTAAGAGCAGTGAATTTGTCCTTGTGGCCCTAGTCAACAGCGCCCTGAGTAAGCAGGTTCCTTCCCTTACCATGAAGCTGCTGTCACTGTGAAGAAGAAAACTGCTTTCATTCCTGGGGTCTCTTCCAAATCTAAAACTGCAAAGTTCCCAGTCTGCTCCTTTTCTGCTCTCAGTGCTGCACTTAAATATTTTCTAACTACAGTCCTAAATGTCTTGCCTTTCCTGTGGACTAAGCGAGCCTTCCGCTAGTCCGCTGCACTCGTGCCTGGCACAGAAATGCCATGTCATACGTGGAAGGGCTTTCCTCCAAAGCTAGGCATAGTTTGTAGCTTTCAAATTCCAAACCAGAAATCCTAAATCATGAAGTAGCAGGCAAAACAATGGCAGGGGCCTCCCTTGCTCTGACCGCTGCTTCAGGGGACCAGTTCCGTGGTTCTCAGTCTGACTTGTACACTAGAATCACCTGAGGTTGTTTAAGCATTTTCTGTAAAATCTGTATTGTTTTCCATGGTCCACAGTAGGAAGAAGGGTGTGATGTGCTCGTGCGCCTGGTGAGTATGTACGTCACCCGTTTAAAAAGTGCTGAAACAGAACAAATTTTGTCGTCACATCCCACCCAGTCCACTCTCCCACCATTGTTTTTAAGCAAATCCTGTATATATCAAGTATTACTCTAAGTTTCTAAAGAGGAGTTTTTCTTTGTTTACTTTCACATAATCACAGTAGTATTATCTGGGAAGCTTTTTAAAAATAGATTCCCAGGCCCTATCTGAGTCAGAATCTGAGGGTTATTCTTAGGCACATATAAAATTTCTGTAGTTCTAATGCAGCAAGACAGGCAAAGGCTGTGGCAAGAATATGGAGATTTAAGGCTTTCTCTTACGCTGCTTCTTACATGACGTGGGTTCTCATAGTGTAGTTTTAAGGAATACTGAGCTGTTAGAAGGCAGACTGTCTTACTCTGAACATAAAACCCAATAAAAAAGCTAGTCCTTTTTAAAAAAGCACATACTGGACAGTATTATTTACCTCTTTACCAAAGTCATTTAAGCCAATCTAAGTCAATATAAAATGGGCATCAGTAGACTTTTTCTGTGAAAGGCCAGACAGTAAATATTTTAGGTTTCTTAGACAAGATTCTCTGTCACAATTACTCATTACTGTCGCTGGAAAGCAGCTGTAGACAATATGTAAATAAATGAGTGTGGCTGTTTCCAATACTTTTTTTTTTTTTTTATAAAAACATCTGGCCTATTGGCTAGCCATTATTTATAAAAAGCATTTGGCTCACTGACTATAGTTTTCCAACTGCTAAAGGATGATAATGAAAAGAAACTAAGGAGTCAATTTTTTTTTCAGAATCCTACAGACCTAATTTGATACTAGAATTGATTTTGTTAAAGGAAACATTTTTTATTTGATGCTCTTTGAGGATCCAGAATTTTAACCCTGCTCCAGAAATAATTAATATAAAGCTGGCACATGTGAGCAAGTAAGATTTTATAACCTCATACTTTAAGAAAGCAATAATCTGATTTTTAAATGTTCTTTGCAAACTGTTAAGATAGAGCTTATAAACTACTTATGAATTCCAGCACCTAACTTCCTTAAAACTAATCACTGAGGAGCAGATATTGATCATATTTGCATGTGAAAATCATTGAGAGCAGATATTGATCATATTTGCATGTGAAAAATACATGGCTAACTTTACTTTTTATATACATGCTTCGTTTTCATCTTTCTCCTGTTAAGAAGCACTCTGAAGTATTAATCTGCACCAGGGACCAAGCTGTTTCACCTGGGCAGACCCTGCGCTCTGCAGGGTATGGTGATGCGGGCCTGCAAGCTAGGCTGTCATCTGGCAGCCCTGGGTCATAATGGCCATTGACCATTTTGGTTCTAGATGATTGTTTTTCCATAGTTTAATATCTGATTTAGTTGATAACTTTAGGGCTTACTGAGCCTTAGAGGAAGTCTACCACTCCTCTCTGCCCTGGGTAGTAAAGTGGCCTTTAAAAATTCCTGGGTCACAATTTAGGGATGACATAATCCTTCTTACAGCTCCCTGGGGACAAAGAGTTTGTATCATGGCAGCAGGATTTGGAGGACTCCGTAAAGCCCACACAGCAGGCCCGACCCACTGTTATCCGCTGGTCTGAAGGAGGCAAGGAGGTCTTCCTCTCTGGGTCATTCAACAATTGGAGCACCAAGATTCCACTGATTAAGAGGTGAAGACAAGTATCTCGGTTGAGTCTGCAGGGTTCAGGAATAGAGACCTATTTGCTTTCTCCGGAAAGAAACCTAGCTGCACTATCCTACTTGCTAAGGACTAGAATACTTCCTGTGACTAATGACTGTATCTGTGGTGTTTTTAACCTCATTGTGAGTCAGAGATGTTTTACCACTTAGAATATCATGGCCTTGGGCATTACTTGTAGCCACTCTGAGTATGTTTCTTTAGGGCTAGATCAGAAGTTCTTCCTTTGCTTCTGAACAGTCTTCTGTAGCTGCTGAGTCCATCTGCTCTGACCTCTAGAGTGCAACTATGACGGTGTAGGCAGAAATTAATGTTAGCTGCTGATTGCAGAGCAGCACGAATTAGTTAACTGGTTACCAGATGGCCCTTTTATGTAGGTAACTTTCCAGATACTACTCACAGAGCACTGAAAGGGCCCCAAGAAGGTCTTCACCTGAACCTACCTGATTGTTACATCCGTGAGGGGTCTGGCCTGCTGAAGTGAAATAGTTGTGTTCAGGTGATCCAGTTGGGAAGTAACATCTTTTTTATTCTTTCCCAGATATTAGCCAAGGTTTGAAGTTATTGAGAAAGGCCAGCACGTATATGCCCAAGGTGCTAGAGGAGGCTGGGATGATGTTATTTTACCTCCTGGGATACAATGACTTAGGCTTGTGATAGATATTGGTGTGTACTCAGAAGGCCTCGTGGTTTGTACATTTGCATCTGCCTTCTAATGGGAACTTGGCCTATTTAACTTTCCATTTCTTTCTGTAGCCATAATGACTTTGTCGCCATCCTGGACCTTCCTGAGGGAGAGCATCAGTACAAGTTCTTTGTGGATGGACAGTGGGTTCATGACCCATCTGAGGTAAGGCCTGGCTTTCTGAGGGAGCCGTGCGCTTAGTCTCCCTCTCGCTGTTCCCCTTGGTGTCAAACATCATTGCCCTCAAATCAAGACTGTGGGCAGCAGCTCGCCCACATGGGAGGACTTTGCTCAGTAAAAGATGGAGGTGCCAAATATGGTCATTTGTAAAAGGAGGGCAGTTGGATGGAAGAGATGAATTTGAAATGGAGATTCATGAATTTTTTTCATTCACTGTTTCAGCCTGTGGTAACCAGTCAACTTGGCACAATTAACAACTTGATCCACGTCGAGAAATCTGATTTTGAGGTGTTTGATGCTTTAAAGTTAGATTCTATGGAAAGTTCAGAGACATCCTGTCGAGGTAATTTTGTGATATTTGTTCTTTCTCGGTGTGCCTCTCTTATAATATATATTCCCTCCCAATATACATTGGTGGTGTTGGTTTTTTGTTTGTTGGTTGGTTGGTTTTTTCATTTTCTTCTCAGCAATCTTCTGAATCACAGATGTTTCTGAGACAAAAGGACATTTAAATTTAGTGTATTTGGTTTTCAACCATTTCAACCAGGATCTACAGTGGGACATTTGTTTTACATCATAACCTCGCAGACACACACACACCAGTGTCGGCCTTTACTCTGTAACACACTCTGTCTTGTGCTTTCCTTCGTAAGCAGTAGGCACTATGGCCTGTGGTCTGCAAAACTATTTTCAGTAAAATTTCAAGTTTTCATTGACCTTGGGTGACAGCAGCCATCAGAAGCCAGCTGTGTTTGGTTTGCCTTGCGTGGCCGTCACTGCTCAGCTGTACGGTTTGGCAGCTCGGCAGCTCCGCAGGAGCCTAGAGAGGCAGCCTTGGCAGAAGAGGGGGAGGAAGAGCCTTTGTGTGTGTATTAACTGAAAGTTTTTAAGTTTTTGGTTCAACAAAGCAAAACAGAAGAAACCTGGTGGAGGAGAGACCTAGATTCTTGTTTCCCCCAGTGCCTCCATCATGGACACTTCTCACTGTATCACCAGAATGATTTACTAAGCCACTCTCCACTACATTTGTTACTTTACAGTGAGGCCCGTGAATCTGTTCAGAGCCGTGCACTGTATTCCAGTAAGCACGTTTTTCCCATGCATTTTTTTTTTTTAAAGATTTATGCATACAGAACTGGGATACAGGCTCTGGACTGGGGGGTGCAGAGGTGCAGGGGCAGTGAGAAGATTCACCAGAGACAGAGTAGGGAGCAGAACAGGCTGACTGACGAAGTCTGCTGATGAGGGGAGCAGCGGGTGGGTCAGAGAGGTCTGCTGAATCATGTGGGTCACCTCCGGGGCAGGCGGGGATTGAATCCATGCTGAAGTGGCTTTAGCTTCTCAGTGCTGCGCTTTAACCTGCTGCGCCACCACGGAGGGCCTCCCATAGACGTTTACTAGTTCTTCAATTTATATTTGTACAAATATCTTCCAGACCTCTCCAGCTCCCCACCAGGGCCATACGGGCAAGAAATGTACGTGTTTCGATCTGAGGAGAGATTCAAATCCCCACCCATCCTTCCCCCTCACCTTCTCCAAGTTATTCTTAACAAGGACACTAATATCTCTGTGAGTATCCTGAGAATATCACTGGGGCCTATGTGTAATAACCAGAGAGGCTGGGATTATTCCCAAAATGTGTTGAGGATACAAATCATATATGTTATCAATGACATCATAGATTTCCTTTGGGGGGCTAAGTTCTGTTATCAGAACATATCAGTTGTCATTCAGGCTCAGATGTGTGCACTGCTAGAATCACTTCGGGGACTTCTATCCCCACACAGGAGGAGAAGTGCTTGCTGTAATACAAAGAAGTATAAGGGGATATATCCCTAGGCAACTGACTTGATTCCGACTAAGACTACTATACAATCTCCTGTTATTTGGGGGGCAAGGTTTTTGTCTCTGCTCTTTTATAAGTTTTAATAGATGTTGAGGTTTAGGCTTTCTGCCCTGGACTCTGCATTTTCCTAATTTTCTGTAATGAAAATGACTTGCTAGGTACTAGGTACTAGGGTGCATGCATTATTTAAAATGTTCTGGTTTCCCAGAGTCCCAAAGAGCTACACAGATGGGTAAACTGACTTAAGTTTATGCAGAAACCCCACTGCTTTTTTTCTCTCAGTGTGACCCGGCCTTGCTCCCCGAGCCCAATCACGTGATGCTGAACCATCTCTACACACTGTCCATCAAGGTAAGCCGCGGCCTAGCGCTCCGAGCCCCGCGGGGGGCGGGGTGGCAAGGGCTCTCAGCGGCTTCCTTTGCTCTGCTACTCCCTGAAACCGAAGCAGGCAGTAGTCAGGCTAGAGGTAAAGAACTTTCTTTAACCAGTGGGCATGTTGTTATTTTGGCTTGTTTGGGAAGGGGCTGGGGTGTGCGGTCTTAGTGTCTACAGCTATGTTCTAGCTGAACTGCCCTGTGACTGAAAGGGTTCTCTTGCTTCCTGGTTTCTTTCTGGGTAGCTATAAGCTTGGTGCCACCTACGCATTTAAGTTTTGAGTTCACGGCAGGAGGATATGCAGAAGCAGCAAGGTTATCTTCCAGTTCAGAAAATACTTGAATGTGATAGTTAGGCTTCTACTTTTTTTTATTTTTTTTTAAAGATTTATTTATTTGTGCATACAGAACTGGGGAACAGGCCAGAGGCTCACGGGCGGTGAGAGGCTTCACCAGAGACAGAGTGGGGAACAGAACAGGCAAATCAACGAAGTACACTGCTGAGGGAAACAGCGGGCGGGTCAGGAGAGGTCTGGCTCGCCATGTGGTCTCCTCCGGGGCAGGCGGGAATCCAACTCATGCGGAAGTGGCTTCAGATTCTCAGTGCTGTGCTTTAACCCGCTGCGCCACCAGGGAGGGCCAGGCTTCTACTTTTTAAAAAGTGAACGGGAGCTACTTCTAGGTGCCTCCTACATAACCAAGCGGTTGCACCTCTCTGCAGTAGGTAAGGGAGGAATGTGGCCGGATTTGCCTTGTCCCCTCAAACTCTTAGTTTGGTTTCTCTGCTTGGTTAGAGTGCACATTAAAAACATCCACTGTGGTTTGGCTATGGAATGAAGTTTCCTGTAGCTTTGAAGTTACCAAACTAGACAGAGCATCATCAGAATCACCGGCTCCATCCCCAGGGACTCTGAACAGGTTTACCTAGGAATCTACCTGGAAGCGCCCTGTAGATTTCTTCAGATGCTTGTATTTCTCAGACATGCCCCCAAATTCGGTTAGTCACTGATCCAACTGCCTTTAACAGATTATGTGGTGCTCTTAACATATGTGATTGAACTTCATTTTTATAATTACTTTGAGAGGTAAGTGTTATTTTTAACTCCTGTTTTATAGATAAAGAAACTAAGGCTCAGAGAAGGTCAAATTGCCAGTAAGTACCGGAGAGAGGACTGAGATCCAGTCCTCCTGTCCTCATTCCACACCCCTCCCTAGTGACCACCGTGCCACATCTTTCGAGTCGGCCTTTCTCTCACTGCTGTCCTCTCTGCCAACCCGTTCCTGGAACAGAATCTTTTATCTGCCATGCTTCTGTCACACTTAGTCTATGATCAACATGCCCTGGTCACAGAGTGAACCCTAGAGACGTTCATTGTGGGTAACACAGGATAAGGCAGTTGGGGGTGGTGCTGGTTTCTTCCCTGGACTTCCACTCGATGGCATTTTCCCACCTCTGATTGTTCCTCGGCTACAATTGGATGCCCTCGGGGCTGCCATCTCCTGGGTACACCCATGGTCTGTTCCAAGGAAAATGGTACTGGTTCTGACCCAGATCAAGGTCTTGATTATTGTGATTCCGCATAACCAATAAAAACCATTTCCGGGTCTCTCAGATAGTTTTGGTTGTTTGAAGTTGATTCATTGGATTGAGTGTTTTTCCAGGGTAGACTGAGGGATCCACTCGGTTGAAGGATAGAAGGGGAGTCCTGATACCCCTCTGGTTCAGAGAGGATGTTTTAATGCATCCCTGGTATTTAATGGAAATTAGACCGATTTCAGGGTTTGGAAATGGCTCTACAAAAAGATCACTTTCTTTCCTCTCATTGTACTTAATCTTCCTACTAGAAATGCCAAGGCATTTTTTTTTCTTTGCTAGTTTTAAGTCCAGTATTTGAATTTCAAGTGAGGGTGAGTTTGAGTACCTGTAAGGCACCTCATAAGTGGTAGGTTCTGTGCCAAAAGGTCTCAGGTGATCATCACAGTCACCTTAATGGTGGTGCAATGATAAGGTAAAAAGACAATTAGAGACATCAAGTAGATTACTCAATAGACTAACAGTAGGAGTCAGGATTGGAATTTAAGATTTGACACCAAAACCAACCCTCTTTCTTGTTATCTCAAACTAGCTCAATTAAAAGTGAGCACAGTGACGGCCTGACAGTTGGGAAGAGCTGTCCATACCTGAACTAGCAAACGAGCTGCCTGTTTCTTTCCCTTGCAGGACAGTGTGATGGTACTTAGTGCAACCCATCGCTACAAGAAGAAGTATGTCACTACTCTGCTCTATAAGCCCATCTGAAGGGACCCCTGATGCCTCCCGGGATTCAGGAGAAGCGTCTCCCTAGCCTTTCTGAACTGGACCAGTCTTGCCTGAGACTGGACGCTGACTTGCTTTAAGGCTGATGTGTGTGTTTCAGAGCCTCTGAGTAGGATGCTCTGCTTTTGCATTTGATTGCAGATGAGAGCTTTGAGTTCATGGAATTTATTTTAAGAAAAAATTATATATATATATATCTATATATATTCATATGAGAGGAAAGTTAATGGAAGCGTCTAGCTACAAGTATTGTCTGCCTCTGGTGACTCACCAAGACCTGTTTGGGCAGCTGCAGGAAGCGCCATGATAGGAAACTTCCTCAGATGAACGGACAGCACACGCTTAGGATCCTTGGTGGGAGGAGGGTCTAAGACAGCTACCGTGGCTGTCCCAGGGATGGGCTTGTGCCAGGCTACTGTCCCCTTCCTGCTGGCTCCTGGCAGGCAGCTCCTCCTGCATGGGTGTGCTGTATCCCCAGAATGTGGCACAGTCTGTTTTATGTGATCCCAGATGCCTCGCAAGGACCCTCTTCCCTCTCATTTTGCATTCTTGCTTTGCTGCTCTTCAGATCCCATACTTGACTGCTAACACAAAACTCTTTGGGTAAGTGACCCCTTTCACAGACTGTGGGAAACCTGAGAGACCAGGGCTACCAAAAAGACTCCTCTTTCTGGCTCAGTCCCAGGCCAACTTTTATTTCCACTTGTGCTAAAGAAAACACGGTTCCACGTTACACAAAAGGCAGACGACCTGTGTTCTTGCTTCTGTTTGGGGCTGCAACGCTGGCTGCACTGGCACATCCCATGGGCTTCCCATCTCGCTGACCCTCCTGGCTCTGCTCTCAGGGTGGACAGCTTTGAAGATGGGAGTGGAGCCAGGGAAAACATCCATCCTTGGAGATTATGTGCCTACATTTTTCTTTAGTTAAAAAACTGCCTTCTCATTGGTCCTGAGCGACAGCATAGGAGAAGTTCAGGTTCTTGAAAAGTGATTTCCACGGTTTTCTCTAGTCTGGCCCGCTACAGGCTTACAGCAGTGTGGTCGACCCTGTGTTCCTCCACTTACAAAGTCACATAGGCCCATTCAGTACATTCCGCAGGTTCCCCAGCTTGAGGTTCATAAGGCAATGCAAGGGAGTACCCCTGGTTTTTCCAGCTATGAAAATTATAGCTTCCCTGCACTAAATGCTAACAAGGTCATTTTGTTCTTCCGCCTCTACTTTTAAAGTGATGAGATGATGAGATGGGGGTCAGAGATTTGGACTGAAAATAACAGCTATTCAAACCATGTTGGGGTTCACAGTTAAACTTTTTTTCCAAGTATCTGTGGCTCTTCCATTACAGATAAATGCAAGTCAAACATTCAACACTGAAGGAGACCAAACTTGATGCTTGAGAGACTCCTTGACTGCTCAGATGAGCCCTGCCACACTGAAAGGGCACCCACAGGTCAGTTTAGCTACCCCTGGTTTCCCCTTGCACAGCTGGCAACAGTGAGCTCTTCGGGTGTGCCGACCTCCGAGACCCCAGTGTGAAGCATTAGGACGTGGGGCTGCTGGTTGGCAACGTAGATTCTTAAGTGCTTTGGCAGCTAAATGCGGAGAGTAAGCCCTGCATCAGCCACTCGAGGCCACGTGCCACAGAAAGCTTTGTGGAGAGCCTTTCGTGGCCCCAGCCCCTTTTTGGGATGGTGTGCCGTTCTCAAAACCCAGGCTAAGTCCTACCATATCTAACCAGCTCTCAGGATCTGAATCGTCTCCAGTCATACTAGACTCTTGTTTTTATCTGATATCAATTAAATAAGCTGGTCACTTGGCAGGACTCAAAATTTTTGTATTGTATTCATATTTCTTGTCAACAGTATTGCAGTGAAATTGTCTATGTATTCACGTATTAAAATTTTTACTCTGTACAGGTATATCAGTAGAGTGGGGCAGGAAAAGAACCTTTCAGTTTCTCTCAGGTCAGAGGCTTCTGTGAATTGGGTCTGGCTCCAAGGACAGTAGGTTTGGGTGCTTCCGATCTTTCTAATCCGGAAACACGCACAGGGTGTCCGTTTTGAGGGCATCTCTCCGCCAGAGGTGAGATGGAAGCCAGCTGGTGGGTGTGGCAGAGGACGCGAGGCGAGTGGGCATCAGCTCTTTACGGACTGTCACTCCTCTGTGCTGCTTGCGTGTCCCGCGGCCCTGAGGAGCCTCGGCTCCCTCAGTCTGTCCCCGGAGAGGGTTCTAGGAGGCAGAGAGCGGAGGAGGAAGGCAGTCCCGTGCACAGCCCCATCACTCTTTCATGTTAGTGGGAGAGAGAGTTTGGCAGACTTTGGGAAGAAGAAACTTTCATCTGGCCTGTGGAAGGTTCACAGTCAAGGTGGGTGAGGAAAGGGCTGAGCCCTTAGGAACTGCATCATGGTTTTGGGGTGGTGGGGAAAATTAGGACTGAACTGAAGAGTGATGCTAGGAAAATAAAGTAACTCCAGACTGAGAGTTTTCATCTCTTAATTAAATCAAATGCCAGTCTCGCTGTCTAGACGCGAGAAACATGCCCCCTCTCTCTCCTGTTTCCTGCTTTCACATCATTTATCCAGCAGGCCTTATCAGGACCTCAGCATTTTGCTTAAACCAAATAAATGCTCGTCTTTGCCAGCTCGGAGAACGTCCATAGCGTGGTTCCTAGCTTATTTGCTTTCAGCTTAGATTTGAGTGGGTTTAAGCCCCCGCAGGCAACACCCAAAGTGCAAACCTGCCCTTCCCAGCACTATTTACCTGGCAGGAGAATTCAAGAGAAGTTTCCAGGAGGGTCCCATACACCGAGGCTTACTCACTTCCCTCCAACTGTCTCTAATCTTTTGTAGATCTACTGAAGCTGAGGTAAAGCCTTTGAAACTGTTGCTGCTAAAGTGAAGTTCAATTTGGAAAAAAAGCGTTTAACTTTAGGCTGGGTTTATGTTAATCTGGAGTTTAAATGAATGAGACATACTAATAAGTTCCTGCTTTTAATTGGGGAAATAGGGCTTTTTAAATTTTGACCTCAACTACAGATGATACACAATAGTTTATATGTGTTTGAAATATATTCTAGTCACAGAGATTTCTAAATCTTCTTTTCTCCTTATTCGGGGCACATGCTTAACAGACACAGTTTGTTCCTACATTTTTCTGACTCATCCTTAAAGCCAGGATAAATTCTTGCTCTTTTCTATCAGAATCTGCTGACTCTAGTGACTCGTGGGATAGATAGCCTGGAGGGTTTGGGGTCTGGGGTCTTTCAAAACTCTGGACCTTGACATTTCTCTCTCCTTATCCACAACTCCCAATTGGAGATTAAAGGGCTGTGGTTTCTGCAGTGAACCAGACTTTAGGAGTAAAAAGGCCAAATCTGCTTTAATGATAAAAGAAGGGAGGAAAAGTAAGAAACTCAAGAGTCTTATTCATAGAATCCAGTTCCTAACAATGGACTCCATCCAGGGTCCTAGCTGGGCTTTGTATTGATTTGCTTTTCTCAGTTGTACTTTGAAGTGAGTAAGTCTCATTAACAAGTTTTTCTTAGGTCCAAAATTGAATTACTGCGTGTGTCACAGTGCTTTTATAGTAAAACTAGATTGTGTGAAATACTCAACATGCTGTGGATTTTGCAGTCAGCTTAAGTGGTCAGGGAATACCGAGCGAGCGTCTGTTGGCAGGTGTTCTTCTCTCCAATTCCACCTACAGTGCATGGTCCTCACGCTACCCCCCCGCTACCCCCCCCACCTGCCCCCCGTGGCTTCAGGTTAGGCCAAGCGCAGGCATGGTTTAGTCCTAGTCTCCACACTGGGCCCCAGATATGACACCTCTTTGAATTTTGGAGAATGTGGATTGTTACTACACTGAAGCATTTTGAAGAAGGGCAGCTCTATTGTAAATGGAGAGTAAGACATTCGTTTGAAAGGGATTAAATGTGTGAGGCTGCCTTTAAACGGTGCTTTTTGTAACCTCTACTGCTGAGATACAGAGCTGCTTTTCAACATTTCACAGAGGAAAGGCACACAGAAATAGATGTTAAAGCTTTTCCTAAATGTGATTTGTTACTAGACTCTGACATGTCTGAAAATTTTGTGATGTAACACATACAAAAATGTGGGTTTTCCCCCATGAAACTATTGAATAAAAGTATTATACAGCAATAGTTGAATTCTTCCTTGATTACTCATTATACTAGCAAGATCAGCCTTAGGATCTAAAGGATGTAAATTGTCACATAAACACATCTGAATAAAGACACAGGTGACGCTGTCGTGCCTTCTGCCACTTGCCCTCTTTTCAGAGCCTTGCCTGCACGAGGAGGAGGGATGCGGACTTGGTGATCTGACATTCAGCTCCCTAAGCTGCACACATAGCTAACAGCTGGATTCACTGAGCTCCAGCCAGAGCTGCCATCACTGAGTGCGAGTGCGAGTGCGAGCGGCAACGAACTGCGGCGTGCAGACTTGCGTGGCATGGCTTTCCAAAGCTTTTCTTCCCGGCCCACTTGGCTTAGGTCTTTTGTTACCATTCCTTCCAAGTACCCTTCCCCTGCAGCCTGGGCAGGGAGCCCTGGCCCGGTCCCACCCCACAGCCGGTGTGGCCACTGTTCACCCAACAGCAGGAGTGCAGGCTCCCAGCTGTAGAGCAAGGCCTGCAAGTTCCGGCCGGGGCCCGGCGCTCCGGATCAAAATTTACAATTCTTGTGTGTATTTCTATAGAGGACAGCAATGTTGACATTGTTGATTATGACACAGAACTGCTCAGTGACTTCCAGTCTTAGAGATGGATACTACTTTTTCCTTACACCATACCCTTTCTACACCCTATAATCTACACCCTATAATGAGGCTTCTAAAAAAAAAAACAAAACATCAAGAGAGCCTCGGTAAAAGACTCTAGTTTTGTGGGGGTGTAGTGGGAATTGGGATCAAAAACGGGCGGGGGGGGGAGGGAAGTGCATGGGACTGTGGTGATGGCACACGGGTGACGGTGATGGGAAACCCACGGGGATTACAACTGAGACAGAAAAAAAATGTACAAAATGATATAAAAATAAACCATTATATTATTAAAAAAAAAAAAAAGATTCCAAGGTGGAGTTGTTCTGGTTACAGACAAAGGTGACAAAGGTGAAGACGTAGCCTTGGAAAAGGTCACAGGAGATTGAGGTCAAGGCCGCCTGAGTCTCAGATCCAAGGAAGGAAAATCTCCCCCCACCCCGACTTCACCCCTAGATTGCTCCTTGTCTGCCCACTTGTGAATTTGTTCAAGGCCTGTATCAAAGACCATTTCTGTAGTAGCCTGCCAATTAGTTTCACCCACACCACTACCCTTGGGTCACCAGGCATTCCCTCACCACAAAAAGTATCTTTATGGGACTAGTAGAACTTGCTACAGAAGTCAGGTCCGGCCCTCCCTGGGGGCGCAGCGGGTTAAAGCAC